CACATTAATTAATTTAACAGAGAAAGTCAGTCAGCACGGTGGTGATTGGTGCAGTCAGCGAAGTAGAGCAGGGCAGAATTTCACTTCAGGAACAGACACTGGTGGCTGTGACACAATGGAGTACAGCCTCAAGGTCCTGTTTGCCATTTACTTTGCCCGTTAGTCCCAGGGTAAAAACCTGAGAAAGGGCTTCTGTAGGCTCCGAGTCCTTGACAAACAGACAAACAAACCTGCAAGACAAACTAGGGTCCTTAGTATGGGATGATGTCAGAAGGGATTAGGTGTGGGCACAACCATAGTGAGTAAGGAGTATCATGCAGGCTGAGCAGAGTTCTGAGAGAATGAGAAAATGTACAGCTCTGGAATATCAGAATCAGAATCCTTTTATTGTCATTATGCATGCGTTTCCATACACACAACAAAATTTCAGCAAGAGAAAAATGGCATAAATAGACTCCCAACAACCAAGTTTAAATCCAAATAAGAAAGTAGAACACAAATAAAGTCTAAACAGAAATACTCAAATATAAATACAAACATACTGAAAAGAAAGATCCCAGACGGCCATACAGCTGTAAGGGACAACATTGTTCCGGACAGACAGACAGCTAGCTCTGAACTTTTCCAGAGCCGCAGCAGGAGCAGGACACTGAACATTGTCAGGGACTCCTCACACCCTCTCCATAAACTGTTTGAACTGCTACCATCAGGCAAACGTTTCTGGAGAATTAAAGGAAGAACCTCCAGACTGATCAACAACTTCAACAACTTCATTCCACAAGCAGTCTGAATGCTGAACTGCTGATCCAGATATGCAAACACTTCCTTAATCGCCTTTAGTATCTGGATCCTGAAGAAACGCTCTCTCATCTTGTTTGTACTACTGTTGTATGTACAGCAAAATGACAATAACCTTGGTGGATTTTTATTATTGTGAGTGAACTTGAAATTAGTGTGAAGAAATCAAGCAAGGTGAGGAATATTTCCTTGTTTTCAGTTGTCGGAAAACTGAAAACAAGTGTATCCCCAGGGTGGAAGACCCTTGTTGCCTTATAAACTGAACTGAGGGATTTGCAAACTGCACTTATATAGTGTAAGGTTTATTCTAATTGAATGTTTTGGCTTTGCAATAACTTTGTTGTGTTGAAAAAAAACAGAGGCCATGTGCATTTTGATTGCATGTAGCCTTTGTGGGATTTCACACTGACTCAAACTTTGGTATAATTTAGTCAAACTGGTACATAAAATAAGCTGTGTGTGAATCCTGCACCCTCAGATGATGGTAAACTACTGTATGTCTTTTGTGACACCAGTCCTGAAACTTTTCTGACACATCTCGTATGACATACTTGAGTCCAATAGAATACATTTGGGGTATTAAAAAGAAAAAGGTAGAGCCTGCTTCCAACTAACCTTGAGGTTTTATATCCTTTTCACTCTGTCTATATGGAAATCCTCCATTAGATCATTTGCAGTTGCCAAATGGACTGGGTGAAGCAACAGATGACGCGTATAGGTTCATGTCTTGCATGGCTGAAAACATTTCTAGCTATGGGTAAATTCTTAGGTCATGTACTAAATGTTAAAGCCATTGGAACCAAGAACTAGCATTTTTGCTGAATAATTCATCTAATGTTCTGTTTT